CTCATCTATATAGAAAACCAATCAAGCATACAGCGTCTTCCTTATTAAGGATCGACAACACCCAGCCTTGGCCTTTGCCTGATATGTGGTCTGGAAGGCAAAGGACGGACATTCCAATTACATTAGTTCGCTAGTGATTAATAAGGCGTATGGGAATTGATTGGGGTAGGTAAGTGAGAAACCATTAACAAAAGCGACCTGTAATGGGATTTTATCGCAGATCCTTAAGGGCGGTTTGACATGTGTTCCTGGAGGAACAGAGAGTACAAAATTGAAAGGGACCAGGAGAGGTTAGATCGATGCGTAAGATAATTACAACCTAAAATAGTTGGAGAAGAATTTACATAACGTTTGTATAAGATACTACAAAAGACTTCCAATCATGTAAATTAAGTTATTTTAATTTTTTGATTTATAAACTATTAATTTTTAACTTGTTTTATAAAACATCTCCCGAAAATATTTATAAATTGTGACATAGGAACATTATAGAATGTAGACGAATTACTAGGGAAACGTTGTATAAAGTTTGAGAAAAATAACGGAGCTTACATTGAACACTTTCTGTAAATAAATATATTTCAGTATCTAAAGTTAATTTAACTATGTTTAATGTTATCTGAAAAACAAATCGACAGGTTAGACTTTTGTTTATACAATTGGGTTACATTTCTATTAAGCTTTAATTATTTTATGTATCACAAGGTAGGAGTTGCCGTTTAACTGTTTTAATAAGGGTTAGGGGATTTGAAAATAGCTATGTTAAATAACTTACCCTTGACATAAAATTTGACATAAAATGAAAACCTATTTCGACTGGCTTGTTTTGAAATGAAAGCACTGTAAACACAATATTAAAGTCAGTGTGTACTTACGGCATACAACTGTGGGGGTGTACACAATTGTTATTTACATTAGTTTTGCTCTATAAGTTCTTTGTTGAACCGACAAACACAGGCTGCCTATTCAAAATACGACTGCTTTGCTGAAGCGGAAAACGTCTCTCAATAAGAGTTGTAAATATTAAGTTACTGAAGGAAAATATGAAAAACCAACATCTTGACTCGTACTGAAGAATTAACAATCACTATTTTCCGAACGACAGAGTGTGTAATAATACAAAATAACTAGTTTTAAAATAATTTATGGCTTTTACTAATTTATAAAATAAAATAATCGTGACAAAAAAGATTTAATTTAGTTAGTCCCTAGCCCAGATTTAAACCCGGACCTCTCACGTGGAAGATAAATGCCTTGTCCTAACTTCCATCGCCACACGATTTTAGTGTCACTAAAATCATTAAATTATTTTAATATACATAGTTTAATTAAAATTTAAGATTTATTTGTAAATGTGGACGAATTAAAAATATAAATGCTATGATTTAATGATTCTACACAAGAATAACTCATTTTTACGTATATTTAATCTCAATAACTAAAAAATATACCGATAATGGGGTCTATTCTGTAACAATTCCTTTATATTTAACGGCCTTTAAAAATATTGGCGACCTTTAAAAATATGTTCGTATTCGTTAATTCACTTCTGTCATTATTTAAACAGATTTATTTAAGATAGTCCTCTAATCTATTTTAAAGATCCGTTTAAATAATGACAGAAGTAAAGAAAAAAACTATTTTTAAAGGCCGTTAAATATAAAGGAATTGCTACAGAATAGACCCCAATTATTTAGATAGAAATGTCACTTATTTAAACTTTTCATTTTTTGCTGTGTTTTCACTACCTAGAATTGATATGAAATATCTGTATTAAAGACAGCGTCTCCTACAAATTTCTGAACAAAATTATGTCAATTTAGATTCAATCAAGGAGGTGCTGTTACCTACCGACTAGAGATTGAATTAGTGCAAATTATTACAGAAATCTTTAAGTAACTATAAATATCGACCGACTAGCTATTAGGGGATATTGTATTATAAACCGGTTTTTAGTAGGCTGAGTTCGAAGGATCATAATAATAGTCCTGAACATAAAATATATTTTTCAATAATTGCCGGGATTTTACCAAATAAAAAAAATTATTTCGTGATTGTGAAAACGGTCCAATCGTTTTATATGCCATTTATAATATTATAAAAATGTTAACTCTAGGACTCATTTTGGAGTATGAGCATACTTTATTTCAATACTTTTATTGTACTGTTTCATAAAGTATTACCTACCTATTACATTTTATTTTTATCGAAAATTGACTTTGTTTCCTGGACCAAAGTAAAGAATGTAGATGCAGATGGTAACAACAAAAACGATATCTTGCCTCACATTAAATATAAATATTTCCTAAAACAAATAATTTGATTTATATACGGGTAGTAATACGAGGGATGTTTATAATTTCAAGTCACGAATATAGAGTCGTTTCAAAATATATTGCCACAATAATTGCGTCACATTGAGTCGGAGTGGGACGCTTGACGTGTCGCAATTCGCAATATATTTTAAAACTATTCTACCTAATTAATAAATTGTGATTTTGAAGTATCGAATGAAAACTATATTCTCATTGGTTAAAGATGGAAGTTTTTGTCATTTGAATGTTCAAGAATATGAATTGTGATTAATTGGTTAAATACCGAAGTTATCTGTTATCTGATGTTGGTACTAACCTAATGTTTTTGGGTAATTTTGACTGTCATTTCCTGGAATTTCCAGGCCCGCATAAATATTTATCCTATTAAAGTACAAAAACCCTACAATAGATATTATGAGTAGGTATTTAACATTCATTTATCTTATCTTAGGTAGTTATTTCCTAGAAACATGTCCCTGATTGTCAATAACACATTACCGTATATCTGTGCCAATATGACGTCACGACTTTTAATATACTTAATGAAGGCTGGGGGAAGGAGTTAAGAGTCTATAAATTTACAAACAAGCTTACGGGTATTTAGTTTTCAAAATTACATCACACGTTTCTGAAGTGTTTTATTGTGCTGTTTGTTTTTAATAAGTGTTATTTTCTTTAATAGAAAATTGATTTATTTGTGCCAAGTGTCCTAGTGAGTTTCATTGTACATTTTAATCAGTTTTATTTTTGGATAAATTGACATCGACTTCCTGCATTAAAGGTAGGTAGTATTTTTTTCTATCACTCTCGAGTTCGTCATTGAATAAAAAAATTAAACGCTATAATTTTAACATTCAAATATTTGCAATTAAAAAATAATATTACGTATTAAATTTGACAATAAAAAAACTTGTTATTTAATAATAATGTTTCATTATTCTGAATATATTTTTTCTACGATCAATATCCAAAGTAGGTAGGTTTTTGCACATTAAAATCTAAATAAAAAGTTGACGTTTTCTGCGAATTGTCATAATTTGACATTATTGGCGCACATTACCTAATATTCAAACCCATTTCCATGCTTAAAAATAGAAGATGGTGACATTCATTTAAAATAAAACCATAACTACTTTTACCAGGTGAAAAATTTCAATATGTTAAAATAATTCATGATTTTTAAGAAATGTGCTAGAAATGATACTACAATATTAATATTCTTTTTATGTTTGATTTTCTAATAATGATTTTATATACTTTTAGATTCAAGGACAGCTAGGTATAGCTCAAAGAAAATTGTGCTACTTTGTAGTATATACTGGAGATGAAAATCCAATATTTGTTGAAAAAATTCATATTCAACCCATTTTTTTTAAAATATGGTTGAAAAATTAGAAAAATTTTACTCGGAATATATGGCACCTGAGATAATTTTAAATAGAAGAAGACGAGGATTAAAATGTCTGGATACCCCATATAATGAAACTTAAAGTGCAAAGATTAGCAAATTTATAAAAATAATAATTTATTGGACTTTAATGATACAACGAGTGATACAAGTACTTGAAATAATGGTTTTTTTGCGCAGAAGCATGTTCATACGTAATTTGCAATTGGTTCTCTTATTTTTGATTTATTTTAACAGGTATAATATATGGTATGTTACTTATAGTATAGATTTTTTTATTTCTCGACCTAATTTATTTGTTACGTGTTCAGCAATTGTCGCTTTCAGTTGACATAAACGAAATTGATAAAAAGTGTTTTTTGCATTTTATTTTGACTGTTTCTCTTACTTTCGAATAGAAACTGAGCTTTGTAAACATAAAATGACGGATATGTCAAACTAAAATGAAACATTGAGTATCGTTAAATGCAACTTTTGAACTAGTTTCAAAAATAGCATTAAAATGATATTATCATTCACAATGTACTAATTTCCTATACTTTTAGTTGATAAATAACCGATAATCATACATCATATAACAAATAGGCGCGTGTCAAAAGGTCACCGGCGAAAAAAGAGTGCCGATGAAAAAAGGTCGTTTCCAATTGTATCATATAAACAGTATCAGAGGCAGTATTATCATCTCGTATATCCCCCGTAAACACACATAATATAAACGGAAATAATCAAATACTAGTCAAAATATTATCGATCGGAACACCATCTTTATTACATTACATGAAGTAATTATTGATTTTTCGGGGTTGATTTAGAGTTAAATTAGACGCCATTTTTGGTCCAAATTCGTTTTGACGTTTTTTCAAAGAAAGTGACTTATAAATTTCAAATCTACACGTTTTGAAATATATACAATATTTAAATATTCTGAGTGTACCAAATTCCAAGTAAAGGTTGAACTTAGGTCGTATTACATTTTTTTTTATTATTTGTTTGACATCGAGGTTAAAATAATTCTACACGGCACCTTTGAGATGAAATAAAAGGGGGTTATTTTACATGATTGGTTTTTATTGAAAATAATAAATTTATTAATTTTCAATAGTAAGGTGACCTAAGTTAGACCTTTATTTTTAATTTGGCCAAAAATTAGATTTTTAAACACTACATATTCGGAAAACTGTCGATTTAACTTTTGGTCTACACATACACAGTACACAGGGATACCCCGTCCTTAATACGATAACAACTAACGAATAATATCGTCTCTTTTGTTTCAGTACCGGATCACATACGACCGAGAGTGTGTTCCCTCCCAGAAAAACCCTACAACCCTCGGATCAGCGACGACCTATACCGGTTGCGGACCTTCAGCATCACTAACAAGGGTGGCGTCGTGAACTGCGGGGATTCCATCATCAACAGACGGTCCAGGTCGAACACCAGTGTAAATTCGACGGCCAGCAGGTGGGTGGTTATTCCTTATTTCGTTATTTATTTTTTCGCTTTCGTTGGCTTGATTCGCGATGAAGACGTCAATTTGCGTGGTTAGACGCCCATCAAAAACCAGAGACAACTCGTCGTAGACGGGTGAGAGGAAAATCCGAACAGGTTGCAACGTTTTTAATTAAAAATTAATTGAATTCTACTGACATTACATAGTTGACTATCTGATTGAGCTTAAAAAAACGTTAATTACCATAAAAGCATTTTTTTAATAAATGTTTATATTAACAAAATGGTGATAGCCCTAAATATTCAGTGGCAAAAGAAAGCGTGGAAACAGATGGAATAATAGAGAAGAAAACAAATACATTGGTACATTTGGAAGAAAACATGTTTAACAAAAACCATGTAGATAATAATCAAACTAAAATTACAGTAAATAAATTCTAAATTATTTTAATCAATGTGTTTTTATATTTTTAACACTGCAGTTAAATATATCCAACTGTTCACTAATATTATTATAATTATTACACAAGTTATATACACAGGCATGGATTTGCCACTAGGCTCGGGCCTAGGGGCGCACGGCTCCAAAGGGCGCACTGTTATAAAAAAATCGAAATCAAATATTTTTAGTTTACAGTTAGTTAGTTAGTCACTTGTTGTTGTCGTGGGTCGTTGTCACTAGTCAAGTCACCCCAGTGCTTTGTTTTAAATCCGTGCTTTGTTCGCGTGTTTTCTAATGCTGATTTGCGTTATCTTAATATTGAACTTTTACAATGTGGTCCATACGGCATTATTTTGTTGTTGAAAATAAGTATTTATTATTGTTAAAGTAATCATGAGTGTTTAATAATTAGCTTTAATTCAAAACCTAGTAGTGCAGAGTTTAGAAAAATGCGCGAAGGAAAAGATGAGAAAACTAAAAAAGTTATTAAAAAAGTTCCTAAAATAACAACTTTTTTTTTTCACGAAATGTTCAAAGTCCAGTTAGTAATGATGGTTATCGTGAAAATGTACAGGCTGTTTCGCATGACGCTTCTAACAGTTTCAACGCCGAAGAAGTTGCTTTTGAGCCCGATCTTGTACCAGAACTTCAAAATAAATCTGCTGATGCTGAAGACGGAGTTCATGTAAAACGTGGTAGAGGTAGTGCAGACTTTTTCAGTTCCGATCCGTGTTTATGGGATGTAAGTGATGAACTAAGAGATTATATTTGTACCCAAAGTAGTGTAAAGCAAAATAGTGACTCCGATTTTAATGAATCCAAAAGACCGTATCCAGATAAAATTCGCTTCCTGTATAAGAGTTTGTTTACGAAAAAACTTCAAAATGGAGAAAAAAACAGCGTGGATGGTTTATTCACCATCAAAAGGTTCCGTTTTCTGCGTTCCTTGTATGATATTTGACGAGTCGGATAACAAGGGCGCATTTCCAAACGGTTTCAATGACTGGAAAATGCTAATCAATGTGTAAAAGACCATAAAAACAGTTTTAATCATAGCAACAGTTTAGAAAAACTAAAAATAGAACTTAAACCCCACTATTGTAGGGAGGTACTTAAGAGAGTGGTGAAAGCTGTTAAATATTTAATTGTGCAAGGATTGGCTCTCCGAGGATCTGATGAACACTTAAATAAACTGTAGAAACTTGATTGAACTTCTGAAATTTCTAGCCCAATTCGACCCTTTTATGGCCGAACATTTACGTCAATACGGCGACCAAGGTTCGGGTAGTACGTCGTACATTTCGAAAACTACTTATAAAGAACTTATCGCCCTTATGGCAGAAGAAGTTCGGGACACAATTTTGAAAGAAGTTTAAGAAGCAAAATACTTTGGCATTGTATTTTGGCATTATATTAGACCCCACGCCGAACATTTCACATGTGGACCAACTTACCTTCGTAAGTAGATATGTTGCTATTGATAGCATGCCGATAGAGATATTTGTTTTGTGCCAAATGTTAGTCACAAAACAGAAGAGAAAGTAAACACAGTATTGGGCCTTTTTGAAAAATGTAATTTGGACATTTCTAATTGTAGAGGCCAATCATATGATAACGCTTCAAATATGTCAGGCATTTACTCTGGAGGTCAAGCTCGTATTAAACAGCTCAGTCCTCTGGCGGAGTATGTACCTTGTTCTGCGCATTCGTTAAACCTAGTAGGCTCGTGTGCAGCTGAGTCATACAAGGAGGCTATTTCCTTTTTTGGATTACTGCAAGAGCTGTATAACTTTTTTAGCGCTTCACATGATAGATGGACTATTTTGACAAGAAACAGCATTAAAGTTGCAAAACCTTTCAAGGACTCGGTGGTCTGCTCGTCACGACGCCTGCCGAGGTAATTTTTAAAAGTTTAGATGAAAATGCTAGTGACTGTGACGACAGGCACTCCACAAGAAATGAAGCCAGGACTATAAATGAAAAGCTAAGTTCCCTAGAGACAACCATTATGGTAGCACTGTGGGGCTCAATTCTAGAAAGGTTTAATAAAGTAAATGTAAAGCTACAGTACGAAATCACAGAGCTAGGGAAAATAGTTGCCTATTACGACTCTTTGTGTGGTTTTCTTCAAGAAGTAAGGAACAACTTTAATGACCTGGAACGATCAGCGAATGAGAAGTGTAGAAAAGAGTATATGGCTAATAATCTGCGCAAAAGAAAGGTACCTACTAAGTTTGGTGAATATGGTGGTTCTAGCAGTGATGATCAATTTACAAGGTCGGAAAACTTCCGTGTTAATACTTTTAACTGCATATTGGACTCCCTATACTCTGAAATTAAGAAACGTGAGTGTAAATATTCTGATCTTCACAATAGGTTTGATTTTCTTGAAACTATCAAAAGTCTTGAGACATCCGATATCACCAAATGTGCAAAAAAAAATATCTAGTGCGTATCGTAAAGATCTTGAGCCTGTTGTTGTGGACGAGTGTTTATATGTAAAAGCATTTTGTTGAAAAACTGAAAACGAAAATACCAGAACGAGTATGACTGAAATTAGCAAGGTTTTGTATAATTTTGACATGGTTGAAGTCTACCCTAACATTGCCATTGCGTTAAGAATGGTTCTTAGTGCTCCAGTCACTAACTGTTCAGCAGAAAGATCCTTTTCTACCCTTCGTCGTGTGAAGAACTACCTAAGATTCACAACTAGCCACGACAGTTTGACATCACTAGCCCTGCTCGCCATCAAGGGGAGACTAACTACTTCCTACGGTAGAAAAATTTGCGCGTAAGAAAGCAAGAAGGTTTTATATATCTGTATTGTTCACATTTTATGTATTATATAGTTATAGTTTTTATTTCTACATAAAACTGATTGTTCACTTGGCTCAAAGAATTATTATTTTCATTTGATTGGCCCTGAATTCGATTGAGGTTACTTGTAATATTAAATATTATTTACCTTTTCCAATTCTGTTTTGTGTTAACACTAAGGGGCGAAACTTGTAGTGCAAACAAAAAACAAAATTGGAAAAGGTTATTAATATTATAAATAATCCAAAGAATTATCTTTAAATTAATGATTAGTTCGCTGTTAACAAGTATTTATTTGAATAAATTTTATTTCGGACAACAAAATCATCAGTGTATGATGGGGGGGGGGGGCAAATTTATTCGGGCCTAGGGGCGCTGTAATGGTAAATCCGGTACTGTATATACAGGTGAACACTTCAAAATGTTTGTCTGAGGAGTTGCAATGTAAAATGATTTGGTGTTTCGAGAGGTTGCGCGGGAGATTCTAAAATTAAGCATATCGTCCCCTTAATACTACAACTAGGTAACTTGAATTTTTGTGATTTTGAGTTATTTACAGTTATCGGTAGAATTTTGCACGCTCTTTTTAATGCTATAAATGGCTAAGTTCTATTATCATTATTTAACATCAAACCTAACATCTAATTCCCATTGAAAACAAAGCCAAATCGGGAAGGAGTGTATCTGATGACTCCAGCATAAACGAGAGCAAATGAGGAAGATTTATTATTAAATACATTATTATTTATTTCATATTTTTCTTTAGCTTTTAAGCAATGAAAAGTTGTACCCATTGCTAATTAAAAACCTACATGTATATGTTTTGTTTTTAAGAATTTAATTGCTAAAACCATATATCTTGTTTTTAAATAAGAAAAAAATTAAATTTATTTTTATTATATTATCTGGTATTACACAATATTTTTTTAATATTAAATACTACATCGGTATACATAGTAATATGATTAAAAATGTCATGTTAATCCTCAAAATATTAAACAATTTATTTTATTAATTATACTGATTAACTTTCTTGTTAATTAAAGTGTTTTTGCAAGTACTAATAGTTGGTTGATATAATAAATAATTAGAATAATAATTATTATTTGTTTTTATTAAGCAAATATTGATTCCTAACTTTTCAATCAGCACATTTTTTTTCCTTGTTGCGAACGACCATGACACTTCTACCACCTTTTCAGTTGCTCACAAATATGTGCCTCTTATAAGAAAGTGAAGCAAAATCAATGATTTTTTCTAATAAATGATTTGTCTGTAGAGATAATATTGCGCTATCCCAGCCATTGTTGATTAAAACAGGTCGAAACTTTTGAATTACCGCTATTTCAACATAGCGGCTGCACTTGATGAAAAGACCTATACGCCTCCTCTTCTTCTTAGTAAATTTAAAACTGCTCTCCTGAAAAATCACAAATTTTGAGTTACCTAGTTGTAGTATTAAGTGAACGATATATAAAAGAGTTTCACAATTTATTTTAAAACTAACAACTTTGTAGAGGGTAATTATGGAGAAGTACTTCCGTCTTACGTCGAGACTTGTCAATCTGTGTCTAGTCAGTAAAGCATTTTGAGTAATACCAATCACCAATCGGTGGATAAATTTGGTCTGCTTGAAAACTAAAAATTTTAGGAAACGCCTTTGTATGGACTCTATCCGACAAATATGTATTTGATAATAAGGATCCCAAATAATTGAGGCATATTTGAGTTTAGATCGAACAAATGAGAAACA